TTACGAAATAGCTTCCACCATGGCCAGGCCCATGAGGATGGAGCAGACGGCGTGGTCCTCGCGATAGTCAGGCAGGCCACAGATGCAGTAGTAGCAGTCCCCCAAGATCTTAATCCGGAGCTGGTGGTATTTCTGAAAGGAAAGGGCATGCACTGGCCCCCAGGTCCCTCCTGAGCCGCAGAGGAGGGAAGCAGAGGGAGGGAGGGAACCGAGGGGGCTGGGCCCGGCTGCGGCCAGGGCCAGCGAGGCCAGCCACTTACCGCCGCCAGCTTGTCGAAGCGGGCAAAGAGCTCGTTGAGCAACTTCACCAGCTCCTGGGCACTGCAGGCAGAGGACAGCTGGGTGAAGCCCACGATGTCGGCAAAGAGGATGCTGTGGCACAGGGGGGGCCACATAGCAGGTCACATAGCAGCCGCTGGTCCCAGGTCCCAGCTGAGAGGCCAGCCTGCAGGCAGGGCTGACTCCACTCCCCACCCACCAGCAGAGGGGTCTCCGAAGGGGGCGGTGTGCTGAAGCAAGGACAGCACGGTGCCACCAGGCAAAAGGCAAAGCTGCAGCTTCGCCTGTGAACTTTCCCTGGAGGGGCCCCTCCCCTGGGCCCCACGCCACAGCCCAAGGACCCGAGGGCCCCCCGACACTGCCCCAGTCCCAGGTCCCAGCGCTGGGGGTTTGGAAATCAGGGGTCCCCGTGCTGGCGCAGAGCCAGAGGAGAGACCCCAGGGCTGACTTCCCGCTGGGGGACTTTCCCTTTGCCCCTTTTTGGAATGGGGGGTGGGCCCAGAGGTCATGGTTCAGCTCCGGCCTCACCCGACCCCAGGCCGCTCCAGCAGGGGCGGCAGAGAAGCTCAGAGCAGAAGCAGACCCGCCCTCAGGGCAGGGAGCCTTGCTCCGGGCCCACCCCGCGCCCACCTGACGTTCTCGTGTCGGTACATGTACATGGTGCTGAACTGCTGCTGGTCCTTCTGGCTGTCGTCCTTCTTCATGTCCTTCAGCATCTCGTCGGCCACGTGCTTGGGCAGGATGGACAACATGAGGTTCTCCTGCCAGGAGGGAGGCGGGGCGGTCAGTGGGGAAGCAGGGTCTGGCAGTGGTGTTTCGGGCAAGGGCAGACCCTTCGGGAGAAAGCACCCAGGTCCTGGTGGCAGGGGTCAGTTCAGGAACCTCACCGAGCAGGCTTGGGGATGAGAATACATCACAGAGCCCCGGGTCACAGAGCCCCGGGGGGCTGAGGGGGGTTCTCAACCTCACAAGAAGTATGATCCCCTTATACTTCTTCCTGGACGTCACCCACCAGGACCCACTGTCAGTCCTTCCAGAAAGTCAGCTTCAGAGTGACCCAAGGTCTGACACGTCCCAGGCACTGCCAGCGCATGGGCGTCCACCTGCAGGGGGGACCAGCAGCACGTCCACATCACCCCTGTGTGTGGGACTAGACAGCCTGCAGAGCGGCGAGGCCGACAGCTGGACTTTCACAAGTGGAGGCCCCGTGGTGAGGGCGGTGTGGGGCTGGGAGACAATGTGCAGAGCACAGAGGGTGGGGGCCGGAAGTGGAAGGACCCCAGGTGGGGAGGGGGTGGGGCGCAGCAGGAAAGGAACAACATCCGTAGAAGGGGCGGACACTGCTGCAGGTGGGAAACGGTAAGTGGTGAAGGCGATGGGATGCCAGGGTGTTGGGTGAAACTAGAGGGAGACCCTCCAGTGGAGGCTTTGCAGGGCAGAAATCATGAACGGTCAAAGGGAAAGGGAGGGCTGCTTGGGATGCAAAGAGAGGGGAGGCGGGCCCGGAAGAGCAGAGGGGTAGGGGGCTGTATGGGGAGCAGGTGGGACCCGGAGCCACCCTGGGCAGTACTGGGTGACCTGCTAGCTGGCCATGCATCAGCAGCAGCTGAGGGGAGAGGAGTGGGGCCCGAGGGGCTCTGGAGGTCAAGGGGTCCCAAGTCCTGAATGCAGGGTCACTCAGGCCCCTCACAGCTAGGAACCCTAGAGCAGGTGTCTGGGTCTCCAGCATCTGACCTACTGTCACTAGACCTCAGTGGCACCACAGCTGGCTGTGAGATCCCAGCTACAACAGCGACATGAGCCCAGCAGGGTGAGGAGCAGAGGTGCTCCCCGGGAGGGTGGGCGAGGGGGCCGTGACCTCACAGCGTGCTCCCTGGGGTGACCAGTGGGTCCTAAGGCTGCAGAGATGCGGGTCCAACCTGCGCTCCAGACGCAGCTGCTCTGGGGCAGGTCGGGGAAATTCATCAGAGTCAGGACACAGAGAGAGATGCGGGGTTCACACGCCCCTCCTCTGGACGGGGCAGCCAGGATACCCTGGGAGCCCAGCCTTGTACCCTGGCCCCTCCAGTTAGCCAGAGGGCAGCCCTTCCTTTATCCAGGACACGTGCAGACCAGGAGCCCCCGGCTGCTGTGGAGACCCGAGGCCCCCCCCACCTCTGGGTTCCCAGGGGCAAGGGATCATCTTTGCTGTGAATCACCCCTTTCTCGAGGACTGTGTCCCCTTGGTCCTCCGTGCCGGAGGGCGCACAGTGCTTCCTGGTAGTCTTCCCAGTTCCTCTGCGGCTTATCTCCATTGTTAAAGCCCTCACCCGGGCCATCATTACCGGACAGCAATGAGAACCACAACAACCCGTGCTCCCTGCCCTGGCTCCGCCTGAACCCTGGAGTAGCAACCGGGTCTCCAGGGTCCCGCAGCCCTGGCGAAGCAAGTGTGCAGAGCTCGGGCGGCACTGCACCCAAGTGTGGTGGGAGATGGGTGGAGGGCAGGGTAGACCTGAGGGTCTGGCTGGAACCTACCTACCAGCCAACCAGGCACTCTGTGCGCACGCAAAGATGAGCCTCGGGAAGGGTTTTCAAGAACACCAGGGACGTTGGCCCAGCCAGCTTGGGAAGAGAGGGGAGATGGCGCCTGGGGCTGTGGTGGGAGGCAGCTGGAGCAGGGCTGAGGAGCTGGGGGTAAGCTCTCGGTGAGGTCCTTGGCTTGGGAGCAGGGGGTGTTGGGCTTCCTTTAGGCCAAGAATCTTAGGGCTCCCCATCCACACCGGGGTGCATTATCCTAGGATGCCCCAGCCCACACAGAGGCAGTAGGGGCCTGGGTGGGCGAGGGGGCCGTGACCCCAGCCCTGCCACACCTGTGTAAGAACCTGTACGTTCTCAACCTCCCTGGGTCACTATTTCTTCTGTGGGACAGGAGAATGAAATAATTCACAGCGTCAAACACGAGGCAGTGGCCACCACACAGCCAGTACTCGTGTCAGTAATTATCACGGCCTCCTGCTGGGTCAATTTCGGGCTGCAGAAGGTTGCCAAACTCCTCCATTTCCTGATCTCTGGCCTCAGAGGCGGGTGTGTGATTTGAACCACGGTTTGTGCTAACTGGCCGCCTGCCTAGTTCAACTGCTGTCGGGTGCCTTCCAGTTTGTGTCAACAACTCCTAGCGTCTCCCATTCTTCCGAGCCAGTCCCTGGGCAGCGACCCATCCCCAATGGTGTTGTACTCCGGACAGAGCTTTGGGACAGGGAATATGCAAGGAATGCCACCCCAGTGTGTCATTCACAGCGCGACAGACCATGTGATTGATTTGCAACGCAGCGAACAAGCCATCTTCCGATCAAACATTCCCGGTGTGCTTGATCCCGGTCTTCAAGCATTCCATCACATTTTGGGTGACTTCCAGTTTTCCTAGATTCACACTTCCTGCAGTCCACAGTCTGCATCAATGCCGCATTGTTGACGGATGCTTGGGGCTGTTTCGTCTCTAGTTGTGCCACATGACAAGTGAAGGTCCCAAAGCCTTGACTCCCTTGATTATCATCAAGG